TCGGTCACAACCGCTTCGACCCTTAACCAATGGTTTGCCTTAAGGGTTGCACGTTAACATCGACCGCGAAAGAAAGCTATACTTTTGCCGACATATCTTTAAGCCGTAATCGGCTCCGCTCGATAGTCACGCGCCGACGAGGAGCTACCTGCGTGAGCTGTTAATTTTACTTTTATCCAACTACATCCCGCGACAATTTGTTTTCACGTCCTGGACGTAAGGACATCCTGAGTTTGAGAATCGCGTGAAATAATAGCTTTTAACGACGAAAATAAAAGGGTACATTTCCTGACAGAAATCACAGCTGAGTTTATAACTTTATATTTGATTTATGATATTAATGGCAAATTCTTTGACTTGAATCTAGAAGTTTTTCTTTTCGAGAATATTTATATATTATTTTTACAACAGCGAAATAGGAAATTTGTAATATTCGATTATAACGTAGAAATAAAAAAGTCTTTGCAAATTAAACATTATGGCTATACATACAAACTAAATGATAAACATACATAAATATAATACTATAAATCATATTCATCGATAAATAAAGACAGAATTTATTTTAACTAGATTTGAAATTTAGTTTATATATACTTATGCAATATTAAAGATTAAAAAACCAAATATTAAATCACAATATGAATAAAATATAACAATATAAATAATGTTCTTGGAAAGGAAAGAGAGATGTTTTTTTTTTGTTGAGAAATTTAGCACAAAAGAATCTGTCATTAAATTCTAACGGTACAACACTCTGCATATAGTCATATGTTTTATAACTTTATAATTATATAATGTGGTCTGTGTTAATTTATGGAAACATACTGACACGTATACGAAACTCGCATGTTCCTCTCTTTGAATGGATACACGAGCTCGATGTTTCGGTCTCGTGGCCCGAGTCAATTCAGAGTAGAGAGCGTAGGGTGGTGCAAGAAAGGTCGGGCAAATGTCGAGGAGTGACATATATTAAATACGAAATGCCATCGACCCCTTTCAAGTTGTATAAAAGAGCGATTCCATCGTTTCCTATCGTTTTCCATTGACGTAATTTATTTTTTCCTGCTTTTATCTATTTACGAAATTTTTAATATGTATTATGTATAATAGAATAATAAAATTTATATTAAATTATAAGAAATATCTATATACATACAGTAGCGAGAGAGAGAGAGAGAGAGAGAGAGAGAGAGAGAGAGAGAGAGAGAGAGAGAGATAAAGAGTATAATTATAATATTTGAAATATAATTTAAGTTCAATATCGGAAATCAACTTACTTTCATTAAATTAAATAAATAATTGCATTGTGTTCGGTTCTTTTACAAAAATTAAAATTCAAAATTCGAAACTGCATACATTTTCTTTTTCTTGATTCTTGACCGAGGCTTTTTTTATAAATTTATTTAAAATAAATAAAATATTAATATTTCTCTCTATATATGAATGTCTCTAATTAACAGATTATAATCTGGCCACCAAAGAATTAATCACATATATGAAACAGACGCTTTTGTTAACTAGCTGGGCCAAAGAGTTGTTAGCACCGAATGGTTGAACTGTTTTGGACAACCAAAGACACGAGAGAGTATAATTAATTCGGCCATTCGGCTTTATCGCTACGCTATTATGCTCGGACGTATCTCGCCAGGCGGATATATTCGGTTTGCTCTCCCTCCGGATCCGCGAGTTTTCCGAGAAATTAGTCGGCATGATTTGCATCTGACGTGCACCTCGGGGCACCCACACGTCGCTCGCATAGTTCGCAACTTTGACTTTCCTAGCCGCTCTCTCTCCTCTCTCTCTCTCTCTCTCTCTCTCTCTCTCTCTGTTTCGCGAATGTCTTCGAATACCGTCGCATCTACGTTGGAAGCCCTCGTGTCAATTATGCTCGTCAAGAACAGGAAGCGTCGAGCATATTCTTCTTGTTCTGCGACATTGATCCTTCTCGAAAGTCTCGAGTTAGGGGAATCTAACCATCGTTTTACATCAACGAGCGACGGAAGTTGCTCCAGAATCTACGACCCTTAATTTCGTCAAGAACAATAAATTATTCATCAATGAGATATTTTCTTTCTTGTCTTTATTCTTTTAATAATATTTATTATTCTCTCACTGAAAAATTTCGACGACCACTTTAATAGTATATTCCTAGTATTAGAAAATTTCTAAACTTGGGAAATGTGCAGGAAGATATCACGTCACGCTTTCGCCGAAAATCTTGTATGTAAAGATATGGAAATTTTCCTTCTCGCGGCTTCGCAAAAGCCGTGACTCGCGGGGCTCTCGAGTTTTGCGCGTCGATTATCTTCATTCGGCAGATCCGAGCTGAGATGTTTCGAGTCCCGGCTTTCGAACGAGTCTCGGCTTAACTCGGTTGTTGTGAATAAGTAAGCGAAGTGTTGCGAAGTGCTGCAGAAGTTGGGCAAACCCTCGACTGGGGTGGCTCGAATTAAATTGTTATACGGATGAGCTGCCACGAGGAATACTCGAGCAAGCGACTTTGCCGACGTCGGCGCCGCCGGGTGTGAATGTTTAATTACCGGCTTTCATTATTGTTAATAAAATAATAGCGCAGCCGGAGAGGGTCCGTGGAAACGAGACCGCACTTGACGAAATCGCACCTTATCATTTCGCTGACATTTCTACCGGAATTTTACCAAATATGTCGAATATGATTAATATAGATTCATCTTATGCGAATTTAAATCTCTTTTCCAGAAAATAGAATTATATTACATTCATTTGTTCGCTTACCTATGATTGCATTGTTGACAAGCGAAGCACTCCAAGTGATAAACGTTGGTTCTCGCGCGCATCACCATCTCGAATGCCGGGATAACTTTGCTGCATGCTGCGCAGTGACCGGTATTTCCGAAAAGTCTGTCAAACAAACAACAGAGAAAAAAATTATCATTGCCATTTCAAATATTTCGTGATTATGCGCCCGGTATTTAAATATACAGATCGCATCAATTAAATATTTCTAGCTCGTTGAAATTTGTATTTCATACTGAAAGCCTTACTGAAAATTCTTAATAATAAATATATTATTAAATATATTATTACTTAATGTTAAATATATATTATTACAGAATAATGTGATGAGAATATTGTCGGAACTTTGGGAGTTTGTGACTATTATACGGAAAAAGAAATCCTTCGTCTCCAAAACGATAGCGAAACTTTCGCCCTGCGCGTCGCGAGAACCAATAAGCTTACGAGCACCACGAATATGCCGTCTTCAAATATTGGGCCATTAATAAAGGCCACAATGTTTCGATGGTGCGTGTTCCTCGTGCGGACGCGCCACCTGCGCGCATTCCCTCGGGACTTTGTAATCTCAACACGGTTTATTTGCTCCCGCTTGTTTATATGGGATGTGGATGTATTCAATAAGAGAAACTCATCTGTAAAATTCGATTTGTTGCCGCCGCTTTCCTCCATTTTCTCTCTCCTCCATCCCGATCGTGTCCTTTATCCCGCTTTTTATCAATCTGTCTATCTATCTACGTTTACTCTGACTCGTCGACGCAAGACGCGCGCGATTGAATCTGAGAAAATTCTTCCGAAAACAATTTTGCGAGAAATGGATTAAATTCTTTTTTTTTTGTTCGCTACTCACCGTAAATAATCTCGTTTACAAAGGATGAGATTGGCCTTGGTATAAAGCGTCGAGCCGACTTCGCCGAGCCTGCAGTCGCAACATCCGCATTTCAAGCAGTCCTCGTGCCAATACATATCCAACGCTTTCAAAAGATACCTAATTAAAAGAAAATTTATAATAGTGTTTATATAAAAAGTAGAATCTCTATTTCTCTAAATGTTTTAAAAATATAATATATTATATGTTGAAAAAAAGATTATGAAACTAGTAACGTTATATTTAATATAATTGAGATTAGAGTCTTTTTTTTTACTCTTGAAAGTTTATTGTATAATACAATAATTCAGAAATTGAACTTTATTGTGTTCTATAATTGCTGATTTAATTTTTGTTGAAATATTAAGTTGTGAATTTATAAACGAATTTATTCTTCGTGATTAACCTTTCAAAAATGTAAAAACGCGTTTAATTCATTTTTCGTGTATTCGACGATCTCGGAGAAAAGATAGACTAAATTAAGTAAATCGTTCTTACAATCAGTATTTTTTCGAGAGATATATATGTTAATATAGTAATTAAGTAACATATATATGAAACATTGTCACGCAATGAGAAAGCACTTACCTTTCTGTAATCGCCTTTCCACAGCCCGCGCATTCTTGTTGAGTGGCCCCGTTCTTGCCCGACTCGCTCTTGCTCCCATCCATAGTCATTTTATCGCCTGAAACATGATGAAGAAATGCTTTGCTTAATCTTACAATTAGTTATATAAACCGCGGGTTGAAAGTTTGACGTGTCTTGTAAATTTACATCTAATATATTTAAAAAAATCTCTATTTAAATTAGAATAATTACTATTACTAGATTATTCAAGAGTTTTGCTCCGAATAGTTAATTATTTAATTATTACGGCATTTTTCTCTCGATTCGGAAACTACGACCGAGCCGTCGGATCGACTTTCGGCTACGGTTCGTCGAATGAGTAATCGCGTTGGCGTGCTTTTAACAAGTTTCACCGGCATCTGGCACTAGAATGTCGGCTTGTCTATGAGTAATTAGAGTTACGGCTGGAGAATTTAACGGCGCGGTTAGTGCCATCTGTGTCCACCCCGTTCGATCCTGAGTGTGTAGCCTTTCTCATCCTCACGCGGATCCCTCCCGTCCTATAGTCTCTTTCTCGCGATGCGGTCAGAGTTTAGAATCGAATTAGTTTAACCCTCCCACGCTCTCTTCGCTTATTGCGCGTTTAAGCACCACCGGCTCCGAAATAACCAACGACTCAGGGATGACCACTACCCATTTTCTGGATAAACATTAGAGGTTTCCCCTCTGAAGAGCCGCGATGTTCTTTTAAGCGTACAAGAATAGCACAGCTTAGGCAAATCGCGAAAAGAAATGTAAATTTTTCCCGAATCGATGAATCGAAACGAGTTACGGAAGAAATTGTTGAAGGATGCAATTTCTTCGATTATAAAACGCGTATTGGATATCGCTGATAAGATGTTGCGTTCGAGGTTGTTATTTGATCTTTAAGCGGTTAATATCGCGCATGTTGACGGGTCCGTCGACCTTTTTCCTCGGGCGATGTCCACCGGCGCCGCACTGTACCAAGTTCGATCTCAGCCACCCGGTATATTTACGAGCTCATACCCGTTGGATGCTATGAGCGAAGTTTGTGCGGTTTCAATATGTCCTCCCTCTCCTCCCAGCATGGACACAATATTACGCGGGTTAATATCTTCCGTGCGGTCGGGGACTTCGGGGCAAATATTAATACGATGCCTTTGATCCGTTAATTATTAACGGGCGACGGGGATGAAAAATCTGTATCGCCTTGGCGGTACGCGAAAATTGCCGAGGACAAAAACCAGATGCCGGATGATGGCCCCGTTTTCCGATGCGCTTCTAATTAAACGCCTTTGTGTCGCGAATAGCGGACAGACCCGCATATACACAATGTCCGTGTGCGCGTGTATGCATGCGTGTGTGTACGCGCGAATTTTTTATTTTTTGTTTTTGCGCGATACAAACGCGACGGAGCAAAGTTTTCGTCCACGAACGCGTAACGAGAGACGCCTCCGTGCACAATCGAGGCACCTCGGTTACAATCGCATATGCGGGGGCGAGTTAATTAATCGAGTTGAATCGATTACACGCTTTACCTCTCCGCCCGCGGGTTACCGATAAATTGAATACGTTATAAATAATAGTACGATTGTTATTCGCGAGCGTGCACACACCTACTCGTGGTAATGATTAATGGAATAACTAACTAGCGAGGTAAATTATGCAAACTATTAAATCCGCCTGCATATAAACTTTCCCACATAATAATCGCTGCGCGATATCGATTGGCGCGAGATGTTAAATTTATGTTGGTCCTTCTCATGGTGGACCTCTCTCGTAATTAGATTAAACACATTTTTTATTGTAATTTTTTTTAAATAACAGACGAATATGCGCATGAGTTTTATACATAAATACATATACGTTATATGCCGCATCCATATATAAATATATGTATATATAAAATCATTTACTTTTTCTGAACCAAACTTACTATATTTTTTATGAAATCACTACGTTTTGACTATCGGTTTTGGCCCTTTTCAAGTGTTATACGCTTAGATTTTCTTTTATAAAACTTTCATGTCGTTACGGTGACATTGAATAATGCGACTTAATCATTACCGTAAATACATGAAAGTTTTATAAAAGGAAATCCAAGCGTATACATTTAAAAAGAACTAAAATCGATGGTCAAAACGTAGTGTATGATTTAATCAAAAATATAGTCAGTTTGATTGAGAAGAAATCAAGGATGTTATTATTTATACACTAACGAGTTATTACCTTTTTATTTTATATATATATATATATATATATATGTTTCAAAGTTATCAACGGAATTTCTGTCGCGCCGGATTGTTTGGTTGTGGCGCACTCGCGACTCGCGGACGTTGCGAAACGTCACTGTTGGCGAACGGAAGTGGCGAGAGTGTTTCCTTTGAAACTCGAAATCCCCCGCGTACGAACTACGATACTACAGAAATATTTGGAGTTACGTGCACTGGAATTTCACCGCAGAAATTCCTGCGGACGCCGACCTGGATTCCGCCGACGACCTCGAAAACCTTCGACCGCCAAGCCAGGTTGGCGCTCGATTCCCACTTTGTATTTAACCGCGATTTTCATCAGCCGCGGCGGATGTGCGGTTTCCCTCGAAAAGAACGTTCGTCGAGCTCCTCGATCTTCCAAGTACATTTTCGCGGACTGAATTTCGCGAGAAACAATAAACATCGATTGTGTCTTTTCCCGGATCCGCGTGAACAGGCGAAGACGAAAATGAAAGAAACCGTTCTGCCGTGAAATTCTCGGTACACGGTCAATCGTTTGGTTTTTCGAGCGCACATCCATTTTTGCGACTAATTACTCGACCGAGGTTATTGTCGTCGGGTAAGCAGCGAAGCACGGCGGAAACAGCTCGCTTCAAACGTTACCGAGGAGGGTCCATAACGAGAGAGAGAGAGAGAGAGAGAGAGAGATTCCCCCACGAAAGTGGCTCGCATCGCTGACCGCCGGAACTGTTCATCAGGTACGTGATCGAATCATCCACGGACGCTGATCCTCAAAGCATCGATAATTCGATTAGCCGCTACACGTTCGAGAACCGCTAACCTGTCCACGAGTCGGTTGTGTACGTGCTCTCCTTGACCAAGCCGTTGTGCTCTCTCGGCGGTCATTATCATTGCGATTGGTATTACGGAAGCGTAATGGTGGACAGTCCTCTCTCTTTTGATGATCGAACGTAAAGGAGGGCGATAATTAAGAAGCTGCGCAGCTTTGACACTTTATTTGACAATTTTTTGCAACTTATTTCGGCGAAGCGGTCTCTCTGCGGATTCAATCGATACAATGACAGTTCGGTAAATTCTATTTCTATTTCGGTGAATTCTATTTCTATGATGATGTCTGCAACAAACGCGTCTGTAAAATCAAGAGTACGATGGTAGCAAGGGCGGGGGCGATCTGCTTATCGACGCAGCCGAGCAGTCTCGATGCAATTCTCTGAAGGCTCCGCCCCTGCAGCATCCATGACACTCCCAGCGTGCCACCCCCGGAACTCTTTAAGAAATAAAAAGTGCAGCTCACCACGCCTCGCTGTCTTAGAAACTTCATTTTCGTCAACATCTCTTCGTCTTCTAAAGTATTAATTCAAGTATCATTGGCGCTATATTTCCCCCGATATATTTCCATTAAAAATCAGTTCCAACTCGATTACTTGAAAAATATTTAAAAGAATATTTTACTAATCTCATTTATTTCAAACAGCCTGCCTTAGTTTCAATGAACGTATCACAATCGCCCGCTCACCTGTCCTCCACTCCATCCTCTCGCGAGGGAGAAAATCCCTTACGTCAGGAAGCGCTTACCGAAATTTCCACTCGTCCAGGGTACGCGGTCGCGCTTTTGTCTTTAATAATGCTTCTGCAGCGGCGTTATCTCTTACTTTTAGAACGGCCGGGCGGGCGTCCGGAGAGTCGGTCCATTAATTAGGCGGGCCGCATTAAGCTGGGCATTAATATACTCCGCTGGCTGTTTTGTTTTATCCCGCAGGAAGGACGTAACCTACCCCGGAGGCTGACGGCGGGGGTGGTTCGCGCCGAAGAGAGAGAGAGAGAGAACAGGACAGGGTTAGGGAATGAGGGGAATTATTTCGATGCGGGGCAACCTGCTAATCCGACCTGCCACGCAATGCCAAGCCGCCGCCTTATCCCGGGGGGTTGTTTAAATTCCGTAAATCGCCCGCGAGTATAGCTCGAGTATAGCTTTCGAGAAATTAGGGAGATAAGATTCGAGCCGCGTGCCCGTTAGTCACGTGCGAAAAATATTGGAGGGTAAAATTCTTCTCTTCAAGGAGAACAATCGTACGCAAAGCCCGACTTCTCGTACTCGGATTGAAATAATTCGGTACCAGAATATTTTAGACACAGAAAAAAAAGGAATCCTTGATTCGAGTATATTTTTATTCTTGAACGCTATTTGATTGATTTAAGCATAGAATGCTCTTTGTAATCACAAATTTTCATTTGCCTTAATAATAAATAAGTTTGTGTGAAGTATATTTTGTCCTTAAGATATATTCTTGTTTTAAAAATCGCATATGGCATATTTATAAGTAAATTTCAGTTTCAACCAAGAATATTTTGCACTTTGTTTTAAGGATAAATTATCCTTTATCCAAAATTATTTATATTTGGCGCTATTATAAGGATAAAATATACTTGAATCAAGGCATATTTGCATTCTTTCAAGAATACTGTTTTTTCTGTGCAGTTTTGGTTAATATTTGTTAGATTTATTCATAATTCTATTATATATAACACTCTAAACTAATAATAATAATATAAAATTATTATTAAAATATGAATATTCTCATTTGAGATTATAGTGTCGAATACACGGTTACCAATTTTGATGTCTTAAGCGTCAATATTGATATGAAAATCAATGAAAAGAAATTACGTTTCACACAATAATATTCTAGCTCTTGAAATATATATCTATTCAATTATCTCTGTCGCATTATATCGATCTTGAGATGGAGGATTACAATCCGTTTTTCCAGACGATTACGAAAGAGTATATTTCCACGCGTGTCTGTTACTACTTCGTAGCGAAGGATATCGTCGCCCACTCGAATCGTCGCTTTCGCTCCCG